GCGCCTCGAGAACTAAAAGAGAGACAGAGTTAAGGCTTTGTGCAACACAGATGGATGGCAATTCATTCAAAAGGGGGTGGGATGGGATCTGCGCTCCATTTATATGAATTCGGATGGCATACTCTGCACATCACGCTGCATCGTGTCAATGATGAGTGACATGCGAGGAGCGATATCGTCAGCCGACTTTCGAACGACCGTCCGTGTTCATGCGACAGGCCTTCTCCTGCCATGACACCTGACGACCTAATCACAACAGGACTTTGGTAAGATCCTGGATGCTTCGGAAATTGAGGCCTCAATGCCCGAGACAGAGGTCGCCTACGGCATGCTGCTTATCGGTGTCGGAACTGAGAGCGTTACCTTCGGTACCCCGGGTGTGCGTGAGAAATATTGCTTCTTGAAGGAGATCGGCGATGCCCAGGCTAGGCTGCCACTTACAATACAGGAAACTGACTATCAACAATTGATATCTTGGGTTTTCTCCTGTCAATCTCGTACTCCGAGATAGACTTGGCCATCACGTGCCTTTACGATCCCTCCTCTACAGGCTGGACGGTGATCGCCTGTCACTAAACCCTACGCCCTAGCCAAGCACTCATTGTTCCCTGTTAAGCATAAGTTCCTGCTCGCAGACAGTTCGCATGGTTTACGAAAGGGGTGGTTCGTATCGCGCCACCTGAACCAGCCGTAGCGAGATCATGCAACGAGAAGAGTACCTGGCCGGCACTGTGACATTGGATCGCACAGGGCCACAGGCAGCAAACCGCACCCGCGTCCCCGTGGCCATCCCATCCTATCCCAGCTTTCCAATACGCCCGATTCGGTGCCGCGTACCGCTAGGCCCAGAGCCCCGGCCGCTGTGGCCTGTTTCCTCCGGTTCAAGTGCAACCTTCCCGAACAGGCATCGAACCTTCTGGCCATCTTGGCATATGAGGAGGTTCCGAAGTTCCTTCTCACCATCTTAGCACTTGAAGAACTGCTGAAGTTCCCTCTAGCCATCTTGGCAATGAGGAACTACTGAAGTTCCTTCTAACCATCTTGGCAATGAGGAACTACTGAAGTTCCTTCTAACCATCTTGGCATATGAGGAAATGCTGAAGTTCCTGTCAGCAATCTTCACATAAATTGACATAAGGACCTACTCAATATGGCGTTGCAATGTCTCTAGTGCTGACGGAGCTGCGCTTCAATGGTTCTTCCTCAAAATACCAAGCCGGTATGTCCAGCATGCTGGTAACTAAACGAAGCATACAGCGCCTCTTCAAACACCAACTCTCTCTAGCATGTTCTTATAGATAGGATGCGCTTCCTCTGAGAAGTTCCTCTTTTATCTAAAGAAAATAATACCTAGTAATAGAACGTTAAACTCCACAGATAGGATCTTCACTACGTGGCATAAATGTGTCATATGTAGACCAATTATTCTTTCAGTCGATTTAGAAGCCAGACTACTATTTAACATCCCACACCTACTTTTAGCTACCCCCTACATTTGGCTACCCTAAAAATGCCTCACCGCTATAATGACCACTAACTTCAACCTTCTACAACTTCACTAATTTTAATCTAATCGCCCTTATCTTTCATATATATTTTCTTTTAATTAAGATACCCTAATATACTAAAGATAACATTAACTAAGCTCTTAAAGCTATTATATATAGTACTAATATAAAAAAAACTATATTTAAATAAAGTATACTATAATTAATACTAAAAAATTATATAAAAGGTTATTAAGTAAAGGATATAGCTTTTTCTAATCTATAAAGACTCTCTATAAACTAAGAAAGCTATTTAGCTAAATAAGTTTAAATTTAAGCTACTTTAAGCTTATTTTTAACCTATTAATAACTTAAGGATTTTACTAAACGTATCCTATAAATCTATAAGGACTCTTAGTTTCTTAGAAAAAACTAAGTATAGTTTTTTATTAAGAAGAACCTATCTATAAAGGTCTAAAGAAATAGAGTAATTAATTCTTAGTATATTAATAAAGCTTTAATTAATATAATTAGGTAATAGTTTAAGTACTTCGTTATACCTAAGATTATAGCTATTAAAGCCTCTAATTAATATAATATAGATAAGACTAATATTCTAAAAGGTAGAGGATTAAATAGGCTTATTCTTAGATTATTAGAAACTTATTCTATCTATAAGAAATAGCTTAGATTATATACTTAGATATTTCTAATTAAGTATATCTCTATAACTAGTAAAGTACTACCTCTACTTATTATATATAAAGGTAAGAGTATTTAGTAGTAATAATTCTTTCTAAATCTAATACTATATAAATCCTAGAAGTTTATAGCTATAGAAAATAGGTAGACTTTAGACTCTATAGTTATTAAGTAGTTAATAGAGGTCTTTATTCCTTTAACTTAGCTAGGGGACCCCTTAGAGGTTAGATTATTAATCTTAGATAGTTATAAAAGCTATAAAACTACTACTTTTATATATATATACTTTAGGAATAAGATATACTTACTATTCTTACTAGTATATATATTATATATCCTTTAGCTACTTAATTAGTTAGTTTTTAAGCCTCTTAAAGCAGTATATAAAAAAGAGCTAACCCTACTAGCTAAATAAGATACTAGTATAGTTATAAGTAAGAGAAACTTTATTATATACTATAGTAAAGTATATAAAGTAGCTCTAATAAGTAAGAATATTATTAGTAATTAGAAATAGATTAGTTTATAGCCTATTAGTATAGCTAGACCTCTTATAAGCTCTTTACTACTTAAAAATACTTTAACTCCTATTAAACTAGCTAGTTAGGTCTATAAAGGGCTCTCTAATAGTAAAGTAAGTAAAAAATAGGTAGTAGATATATCTATAGTCCCTTAGTTAACCCCTAAAAAGAGGGATAAGCTTTAGGATTAATTTAGCCTATTTAGTAAACTAGATAATAATAAGTATATATAGCGCTTACTTTTTTAGAAGGTTTAGAAAAGCTTTAATAAAAAAGTATATTAATTAATAGTAGCTTAGTAAAAGATTAAGGCTTTATAGGTAGAGGTTAATATTAGTAGGGCTAGAAAATAGAAGAAGGTTAAAATAAGCTTAAATTTGAAGTTTACTAATATTAAAGCTATTTAGAAGGCTTAAATTAAAATAGGTGAACTTAAAAGTAGTATAGATAAATCTAGTAAGTCTAAAAACCTTAGTAATAGCAAAAGTTATATTATTATAGTATCATAATATATATAAATATTAGTTAAAGTTAATATGTATAAATATGAGGGTATTAAAAATAGGGTGGCTAAATATGGGGGGTGGCTAAAAGTAGGTGTGGGACGTTATATAGTTCATGTTCTAATAATTGAAGGCGGTGCCTTTGTGAGTACCTATCTCTTAGATTCGCCTTTTTGTCTTTCGTTCCACTCTTCAGCTTCTTCGCATCTTTTCTGCAGTGACGATTTCATAAGAGAAAACTGCTGCTAAAGCAGGGCGCTGTACTGCTTTTCGCAATAGTGGCTTATCTCAGACTCCGTAATGTGAATAAATCCGGACTGTTCTTCAATAATATCGTCGATATCGCCGCCAGATGTCTTAGTGGCTTCCCAAATGTGTCGTGCCAGCATACCTTACCACATAGTAGTTAGTACGAGAAATCTCACTTACCTATTGTGAAAGATAATAAAGACACAGACGGAGAGAATTCAATCCAAACCATGATTGTCATTATACAAAAGACTGATATGCTCAATGAAGAAGGGGTCGGGGGTCACCTCTAATATCTAATTGGGGGAGCATGGCTGCCGCCAACCTTGAGCATCCACCACAGCTGCATCGAAGCCGAAACATGAAAGCTTCCCCGTTTCATTTTGCACATCTAACCCAAGAAATCTACAATGTTGACGCCTGCTAAATAATAACACCATCATCAGGTTTTCAAGTGCGAATCGCTTCGTAAGTATCCCTCAGCATGGTCACATAAAACAGGCAAATAGACCTCATATGAAGCCTTCACTTGCATACTTTCGTATATCATGTGAAGGCTATGACGACGCTCATCAAAGGGTTATAGGTCGCTCTAAGTGAATTCCTCCTCTATTAACATATTGCTTTCCGCCCAATACTTAAGAACTACGCATAATAACCCACGACCTTTTAACTCAACGATCTTGTTTCAAAGGGATGAAGCAGACGCAGATTCCACTGGACGGAGTGATAAAGGTTGCCCAATTGTTTGAATCGGGCAAGGGCTGTCTTCTGAGAACGTCCTGATCACTGATACTGCTCGGGAAGATTATATAATCAGGTCAAATTAAGGTTGTCTCCGGTGGAAGCCCGAGAGGAGATGAGCCAGCAGAACATCTTCTACTCAGAGATGCTCTTGTAACTGCTGGTCTTTGCTCAAAAGGTTAGCATTAGTGACAGCCAGAAGGAGATTGTGCGCGAGCCAGACGTATTGCCTCAGAAATCGAAGAACATATATGGAAGCGTACTCAAACAGACCCATCCAATTCATTTCAGCAGGAATGGCATTGCCGCGTTGTGCAACGTTGTTTTCTTGCAATTGCCTGAGCAAAGGTAATGGGTACTGAGAGAGTTTTACGCACCACTGGGGCCAACTACGAGCACTAGCGTAGTTCGCGAGCTGTTCCGTGCGTCCAGCGCCGCATAACAAACCCAGTCTTGAAACGAAACAAACTCCAATGGGCAAGACAATCCCACCATTTTAAGATTAACGTTCATGGGGAAGTTCTCGAAACAAATATTTGAGTTTCAGATCCCCGGCAGTTTGGTGCTATGAACAGGGATTTAGAGAACCGTATCTCAATTCCTGTGGGCCACATAAAAGAAACAGTGTCCCCTGGACATTCCTATCCAGCTGTACCCAGGCAACGTGTCTGCTGGGATAAGGCTCGGCACGCATACGACACACGTTCTCCTCGGACCAAGCGGATTCGTCGGTCATTGTACTAAGAACTTCGATCCACAATCCTCTTTCATCTTCATGACATGTGCACTTAACAATGGTCGACCTCGATGATGCAATCCCTGCGCTCAATCAGCGACCGGCAGCGCTAGCCATTATTATTGTTTTTCTGGTATGCTACTCGATATGTTGTCGTTCATTTAACATACAATGCGCGATTTTCAGGCATTGCTCAGAAATGAACCACAAGGCTGACGACGTCCTCAGATCCTCGCCTATGTTTGTGGCATTGGGCGGCTGTACATCCGTTTTTTTCGTCGTTCGCCGCCCCGGCTGGGACGATGCATTGCTCATTATGGTCTTGGTATGTTGTCAATTCCCAGTCGAACGGACTCTAAGGGTCAAAATGCTAAGTTCTCTCTTCCTTCCAGGTAACCACCACTTTATTATCCATATCAACATGTATAGGTAGGGACATTGTATGTTGGTCACGAAGAAAGCACGCATTCTGACCGTGTCTATTAGCCCTCTCAAACGGGTTGGGCAAGCACTATGCTACTCTTGGATTAACTGGCACTGAGGCATTCATCAAGGCAAGCTTCCTGGATGTCTCTCTATTGGTGTAGAATCTGAAGCGCTAACTTGCCGATAGACCTTTTACATTTGCAACGCTGCGTATTGCATGGCGACAACCTTCATCAAGCTGGCTCTATTATGTCAGTATCTCACAATGTTTGACCATGGTTCACTATCATATCGAATCAGCATGGTAATGCTCATCGTCACAGCGATGTGGGGCACTGCATACTCCGTCATCGCTTGGTTTCCATGCAATCCCGTTTCGGCACAGTGGGAACTGACGAAACCGGCCACGGGCCGATGGGGATTCGGGTCGGACGACTTAGGCGTCTACAAAAGAACTTACATTAGCCATGTAGCGACTAACATGGTTCTCGACATGGTAGTTTGTGGGTTGCCACTACCATTCGCGTGGGGAAACGGCATTCGGAAAAGGTCTGTCTATGGAGTTGTCTCACTTTTCATTCTAGGTGATATGTAAGCGTCCCAACATACTATTCAGACATCATTGTGGGGTTACTGACCTTATTCGTTAACAGTGTTGTTGCTATTGGGGTCAGTCGTCTCGTGTCAATCCAGAACACAGAGGCCGGAACCTACCCGCGGGTGGATCCGTCTTGGTACGCCTGTGTTCCTGCTGTGCTAGCAACGGTTGAGGTCAACCTGGCTACGGTTTGTGCGTCCATACCTATTGTCTGGCCAGTTACACAGCGGGCCCTCAGCCGAATATGGGTCACGAGAGAGGTTGAAATTACCTCCGAACCGGGCGAATACCCTCTCACTGCTGGGGTTAAGCCTTACGACAGTTACTACATACAAAAGACCTCAGCTTGGTCTATCACCAGCCAGCAGCACAACGGGAAAGGGATTTAAGCATCACCAGCCAGCTTGGAATTGTGTCTTCTAGGTGTGATGGGCAAACTTCAGAGAAAGCATGCCTGAAATAACCAAACTTTTGGTTCATAACATAATTAGAACCCGCGTACTTTTCAAACATTGGTATGGTTCCTAGTGAAGGTATGCGTAAATGACGATGGAAGCCGAATTCTCTCTCGACAGTTCCTTCCAATGTGAACAATTCAAAAGACCATTGCTTAAGCAGATCCAAATCTTCTAGCGGAACCCCGAGTCTCTTTGCCGGTCACATCTATATACTCAGTCAGTAGTAGCTTGTTTACAGCATGGCCGGCATCTGTAGAGGAAGCGCAGTCGTCTTCTGTCAGTCAGCCACTTACCACATAACAACCGAAGATGGACTCAATGCAGTGACTACTCCCACCATATTTGAGCCATTGTCCACTTCCATGTGACATGTCGATGTTATATATAAATTCATATCACTATATCTCTTTCCTCAACTTTCCATGACTTAAGGTGTTAAGGCGTAAATATTGCGAGGATCTCTAGCAAACGAGTCTTCCCAATATCTCAGTCCAATTGCAATATCTAATTTGTGGAGTTTTCCTAAAGACTAAGACGATACCTCCGCAAAGGTCCTAGTCTGCCCATATCTCAAAATATTGAAGTCCCGGTGTATCTTCACATCCACCATCGCATGGTTTTATTCCAAGACACCATTCACGACTGGAGCTCGCATGCATCGACATATCATGCGACTGGGTTAACTCTTCTAGCTTGAGGGTCATTTCCCTTGCGATGCCGCGACCTGGAGGAATATGAGCTCATCGTTAACATCAACTCAGTTGAAATAGACGGCTTTACTTTCTCGATAGCTGCTTTCTGAGAGTCAGCTTGAGCTGAGTGCCGATCTTGTCCATATACAAACGATCATCGCCTCAGATTTTTATCCCACTTTTCCATACTTTATGCTGCAAACGAGAGCTCCGAAACACCCAAGGACGTTGATAGGCTCACTAACTCGATCTTTAACATACTCTCTTGCAAGATACATGAACACTAAAGCATCATTGATTGGATCTTTTCAATCAATAGGTGTCTTCCTCAAAGCTCAAAGAGAGTCGAAGCTTAATTTTCCGTGATAATGGAATGTGACTTACCAGGTCAGCCCATCTCGTGTGTTATATGTTCGCATCACAGTGTGTGGAATGGTCATTCGCCGAATATCTTCCTATTTGGGCTTTCCGTTACGGGCGAATCGGACTTTACTGATGCTGCTGACACTTGAAGTCAGCTAGCCGGGGAAAACCCGCCAAAGTCCGTGAACAGAGGTCGGGATTTCAAATGCGTCCGTCGATAGTTCCACCTTCCATGTACCAATCTTTGTAAAACATATCAAGTCTAGTAATTTATGTTGGGTCATACTGTTGGCTTTCTTGTGTTGGGGTATGGTCCGTCCTTTTTCGTCCCGACTGGAGATGCGGGCCTCGCCATGGATGGTCATGCTGAAGGGTTATTTATAGGGAAATCTGACCTCGGACCTGCCAACCTTTGGCCGTACATTGTCATTCCTTATCTTTCTCTTTAGACACTACATGCCTTGAGTATGGCGGATCGCTATGTCGCAGTTCACGCCAATCCTTGCGGTCCAGGAGACAACCGCCCAGACGCAGACCAAATCATTCGCGATGAGGGCCTGATTGACAAACTGTTCAATCGAACAGCGTTCGTCACAGGGTGCTCCGCTGGTATTGGCATCGACACAGCAAAGGCTCTCTTTCTCACTGGCGCTTCGCTTTACCTGACCGCCCGCGACATCTCGAAGGCCAAGGCTGCTCTGGGTGACACCCTTGTCTCCAGTCCGCGTGTTCACCTTTTGGAACTCGATCTTGCTTCATTTGCCAGTGTACGCAAATTTGCTGAGGCCTTTTTGTCTCTCAAAGTGCCGCTCAACATCCTCATATGTAATGCGGGAGTCATGACCCCTCCAGAAGGCCGAACGCAGGATGGCTTTGAGACACAGTTCGGTACCAATCATCTGGCTCATTTTCTTCTTTTTGAACTGCTTCATCCTGCATTGCTTGCAGGGGTTACACAGGAGTTTGCTTCTCGAGTTGTCATCCTGGCTTCAATTGCTCATCGCTTCGGAGAAGTTCGTTTCGACAACATCAATTTTGATGGCCACTATGATGCCATGGCTGCGTATGCTCAGAGCAAGACAGCGAACCTTTGGACTGCGAATGAGATCGAGCGCCGTTATGGCGCACAAGGGATACACGCGTGGAGCGTGCAACCCGGCGCCGTCCTCACGGATCTGACAAGACATATGTCTGATGAACAGCAACAGGTTCTGAAGCAAGACGATTACTTATCCAAAATCTACAAAACACCGTCTCAAGGTGCCTCCACCTCGGTTTGGGCTGCGACTGCTGCGGCATTGGAAGGGAAAGGCGGGCGATACCTTGAGGACTGCCAGATAATCGGTGCATGGGAACAATCAAAAGGACTGTACAGTCCGGGATATGGCGAGCATGCGTACAGTGTGTCGAAAGCTAGCTTGCTTTGGGAAAAGTCGAACGAGTGGGTGAGATAGATCTGCATCAAATATGATGTCGTCTTTGGGATGAACGAGCCGCTATGTTGACCATCGGCATTCGTCCAGCATAATATCTAAATCTGGCCAAGGTTGAAGTAATTGAGTGGCAATTGACAAACTCATGATATTGATGGCATCCTTTGAGGCGGCGTGGCTGTTAGAAGATTAAGATAGCTTGGTATTGTGAGGTCATATTCATCTTATCATGCTCAATGTCTGCTTATCTACCATTGTACAAATCACTGCAATAGTAGGAGACAAAACGGGGTAGGGGCTTTGCGGCTGGAATGTGAACAATTCTTGAAGCCTGCGTTTATCATCTCGGTTGTTCGCAGCCTTTCCCTGAATTTTCTCCCGGCGACAGACTTCAAGTTTATTCTATTCAACGGGACCTTCTAGAGCATCTTCGTTTCTGGTTGTCGAGTCAACCTACTTAGACCCCAGCTCATCAGGTTGGTCGCGTTCCACAAAAAAGGTGTTGGTGTCGATCCTTGCCTGTGACAATGCAATGTGTTGACATGTTGTCATGGAGAACATGAGACACTAATTAAACAAGCACTGGCAACTTCAGAAATCGCCTTCACCCTCTTTGCGAATTCACATTGGGGTACAAAAATCAGCAGCCCGCCGCGTTCTACTTTATTGTATGAAAGCTACTTGCTCAGTCAATATTGGTCCTTTTCCAGGTCTCGCGGTATGCTCATCATGACATCAAGCGATTTTGGAGCGGTCTACGTGAGCGACAAGTGGGACTCTGTTATATACAGTCACGTCTGCCAAGCTCTATTCCTCAAAGGAGCGCCAGTGATTGGGCTTTTGGAGTCATGGTGTATCAGAAACAGCAAGAGTATAGATGGCATCAAGCCAACTCTCGCGGTAGTGTATTTCAACACTGGTGTAGATGCCGACGAGTATCTCCGCATTAAGGCAGAAGTGGCGGCCAAGGTATGTCATGGCTAAATGAAATCCAATCTCCGACTATGGCGAAAACTCATTCAGGTGTCTTAGGCCGGCATCGACTTCATTCCGTACGAACTGGCACCAAATGCATCTACAGATGGAGTTCTCCATCTGATTTCTACGCTGAATAAATGTTCTCGGACTCACGGTATTCTGGTTCAGCGTCCACTGCCGATTCAGATCTCTGAATCGGACGTTATGGGCAGTATCAGTAGACGGAAACATGTTGAAGAGCGTCTTCAAGGACAGCCTAGCAACATTGCTGTGGATGGCGTAGTTCGTCTGCTCGCTTCTTATCGCAAAGCCGACATGCTCGACTTATCTATTGTGCTTCTTGGGGGCACCAACATTATCACTCCCGGTTTCAAGGCCGAGCTCAAAAAACGATATCCCCGTGTTGAGATGTTCAAGACACCAGAGGAAGCGAAGCTCGTTAACAGAGACGGGGTTATCGTCATGACAGAGCTCAACAAAGGCGGCATTATCCAGCCTGGAATGCTTGGGCCAGGAGTAGAGTTAGTCATTGATCTTGGGTTTGACATAAACACAAAGATGGGAGATCTAGATCCGAGGGTATTTGACGTCGATGGCTTGATGGTGGTCCCAACTCCAGGTGGCGTACTGCCTGTTATCATCTGGTTGATGATGGAAAGGACTATCAAAAGCATGTCCAAACGCAGAGCATCAAGATCCATCTGGCTTCGCAAGGGATGTGCGCAGATCTTGAACTTATTTAGAGTGAAGTCAGCTTCGCAGGATAGCCACTGATGTTGCGGCGTTATACGTAAATCTTCGGTGACAAAAGAAAGATTCATGGCGCAAATTTATACACTTTTTCTCGGCGATCATCAATTGAATCGATGATGTTTCACTTTATTGGCAGCTCTCGAATACTCAGGGGATGATGAGATATTGACGTACACAGACCGCATCCGGATTCGTTCATGTAGCTTGGTAATGCCACAAATGAACGCGACACCCACAACCATCCACACATCAGCTGTTGTAGCACCTGCTTTCGTAAAGCATTAATGTGTCTGAGTTGGCAAAACGTTAATTTGTTAACGTCTCGAAACGTAGAGCGCGTCCATTTTCAGAGTTATGTCTCGAATTGAACCTTTGCTCTCTCTGCAGTTGCCGGTGCTAACTTGGCTGTCGTCGTCATTGTCTCAAGCATCAGCAATTAGCGACCGATGGAAGTATACAAAGATGAGCCAAGTCAGACTTTGGTCGATGCAACTAGATTATGCTTCGCTAGCTAATTACATATTACGTCCCCAGTATCCATCCTCTAGTCGTGGTCTTAGTACTGTACAAGAACTAGGTTTCTGTAGTTTTGTACTTGCGACATTTGAGTAGTATGCTCAGAGTGTTGACAAAAGCGAGCATTGTTCCAATATTCACGCGCTTACTGGTAAGAAGCGCGGTAGGTGTCCCAGTAGGAGTGCATGCGAGTCTCCTGGCCATCAGTGAAGTGGGTGAAGCAGTCGCTGTGAGGGGAATTAGCATGCTCTACATGCATACACGCAAAGAGGTATACTTACTCGTCAGAGTAGTCCATGTAGTTGGTGACGGGGTCAGTGCCGGCAAGGGTGGGGCAGGTGTCACGGCCAATCTCGCAGTTGTAGGCCTCCTCAGACTCGAAGGGGGTGTCAGAAACGTAGTCTCCGTTACCACCGCACTGGTAGCCCTCGAAGGTGTGGTAGACTGCCATGCGTGTAAGCCAAGTGGTCATCTTTCGATTTGAATGTGTTAGCGTGGTTCACTTACGTCCAAGCCAGTGGCCAATCTCGTGGGTGGCGGTGTGGCCAAGGTTGTACTGGGCCAAGCTACCTCCGGGAACAGCAGCGGAGCGGATGACGACACCATCGTAGTAGAAAGCGGAGGAGCCGGTAGAAACGGTCTGGGGGAAGTAGGCGTATCCGAGGTAGGGGGTACCGGGAACGAAGTAGACGTTCAGGTCGGCGTAGGTGCCCTTGCGGAGCGAGCGCTTCATGGTCAGCTCGGCCGAGTCAGAAGCCCACTGGGTGTTGATAGTCCAGTCGGCACCGGCTTGAGAGAACTGGACATCGTGGGGGGCGAAGGCCGCGTTCAGGACGTCGAGCTGCTCGTCCAGGGTAGCCTGGGTAAGGTACCCATTGGCAACAGTCTGGGACCTGGCAATGACGTGCCAGTAGACGTTGACGTTGATGGGAGCCAGACGAGTGGAGTTGCCAGCGACGCGGGCGTTCTCCTCCTTGAGCATCAAACGCTCAGCAACCTCGATCTGCTCCTCAGAGGGAGACGGGGTGCCGCAAGAGCGCTGAGCGAAGGCGCCGGAGGCGACCGCGAGAGCGGAGAGAACAAGAGTCTTGAACTGCATCTTGGAGGGGGGACCGGACACCTGATTGGGGAGAACCTGACTTGAGAGGACTGGGATGAGGATGAGGACAGAAGACACCTTGATGGCTGGCTTCATGGCAGTTTATATAACCATTTGACCGTTCCCATCTTGAACCTCACATGCTGGCGAGACATATCGTGACTTCGAAGTATTTCGACTTTCAACCTTCCCAAAACGGATCAGACCGAAGGTTTAGCACACTGCAACGGACGGTCTTGTGGTACGCAAACTGGATCAGATGCAGCAATTCTTTTTGCGGGTGCAAACGCAGGTGGCTCCTGTGCTCCATAGCTGAGGAGTCGACTCATGGGCAAGTCGAGGGCACCTGCTCAGTTTGTCAGGTCGCATGCGCTTCTATTGACGACACCCGCCAAAAGCTTGACGTGATAAGCCGGTTGGCCGGCATGTCTTAAGTTGCCAAGAAAAATCGCGGCTTTTGCGATGGTTCAGGAAATGCCAAGACGGTGAAAGGAGCCAAGAGAGGGACGGTTTCCAGGCTTTGGTTGGTATGTCGTACAACGCTCTGATTAAACCAAGCACTGGCTGGTTATCGACTTGCCTTTTGCGCCAATCGAGGTCCATTAATTGGCCAGCACCAAGCACGGCTGAGTTCATTCGCGCGTATTATCGTTCCCACTCAAAGTCTTGGCCGTTGATTTAAAGTCTTGGCTCTTGAGCTTCACCGCGTCTGCTTGGATGGGGATTGGCCAAATCAAGCTTATATTTATGAGTGTCGGGCATAGCCGGTCGCCGAGATGTTACCTTCCTTAATTCGACCACAGCTCCACCCTCCTCCCCCTGAGCCCGACAAGCCCCGTCGCTCCAACCCCGCGCCGGTCCCGCCCACATCCCGGTGGCGCTGGAGGAATGCCCGCGCATATCGCATCACATCGCATCTCATCGCCAGCCCCCCCCCCCCCCCCCGCCGTCCCCTGCATTACCTCCCTTTCCCCACATCTCCGGCAATAACCTCCATCTACCGCCTCCCGCTGCCGCCGTCTGCCCCTCTAGACCCTTTTCTCTGGCGGCGGATAAGTCAACGTCAAGCCCAGCTTCCAGTCTTGGTAGATAGTCCAAAGTGCCAAGCTCGTCAGTAAAATGAGTTTCGTCACTGTAAGACAATTGGAAGTCCAATGGCGTAGTTCGGGGATGGCTTCGCTCTGATGTCCTGCGGAAACCGCCGTAAACCACACGCTGGACCAACAAAAGAGTCTCTGGACGAGAGCATTCAGACCCCGCAGTGAACCGAGCTGCGACAGTGAATCGTTTGTTCCGCTCTTCCAAGACCAGCGCAAGACGGTTCAACTCATATTGCTTGCAACCACTGCCACTCTCCCATTTGGCTTTGCTGTGAATCTTTCTTCAAACACCTCATCTGATACCATGAAGCAGAACAATGCGTTGGGAAGGGGTTAACTTCGATGTCAAAATTTGGCAAAGATGTGCAGCGAGCTGCATTCGCCAGGTCGTTGGTTCCGCGGTATTGGACCAGAGATTCACCCGTGATCGCCAAACTTGGCATGCGTGATCTGCGATTGCATGGACCCTGCCGACCGAGCCTCATCAAACCTACCGAGGGTACTACAACGACGATAAGAGGAGAGGTTGACCAGACCAACCTGTCATATTCCTAACTCGACAGAAGAGAAGAGCTGCAAACACAGCAATCCAGTTTGAGAATGCAAAATACAGAAATGTGTCAACCGCTCACGTGATGGTCTTCATCAATAGTCATGTGTGAGGCATGCAGGTTCCATGAGATATTAAAGATGAAAGGTCAAGGTTGTCCACAGCGGCAGCCAGTCAACCTGAATGAGACACTGCGGAATGGAAATTTCAATGTTTTGGTGAAGCCCCCTTGAGAGGGATACTTCAGCAGCGAAAACGCGAATGTCTCATCGTTAACCTCGTGTCCGTATCCCATCGAGTGCGGCATGGCGTCAGTACATACAATCCCCAATTTTCTCCAACTCGACTGATAACATGATTTTTTGATTCGCGGGAATGAGCGAGAAACAACCGGATTAATATCCAATTAGCTACTAATACTCCGCACACGTTTGTAGTGACGCCATGCCGCACTCGATGGGATAGCTGCTGCAGCTGGCCATACTGTTAGAGCGCGAAACAGAGGCCCAAAACCGATGTCTTGAAGATCTATCCGAACATTGCGAAGAGGTCCGTACTCGGAATCGGTAACATAACCCAATCAGGAGTTTGGCGAGCATTCCCACTTGGTTATCATTGGTGGGGGGATTTAGATGAATCTTGGCTAGTTGAGCTGACCCTTTGCATTCTTCACGACCTGACCCTTTCACCCCTTGCTTGCAAAATATGCTTCTGTCCAGGGATAATAGGGAACAGTCAGCAATGTGTGAAATGACGTATGAACTCCTTCGTGTAGCTTGTAATTTTTCTTGGTCATTTCATCAAAACCTGCTCTTGACAGTCGTTTGTTTTCAGTTACTTTTCCCGCAGCGGTCACGATGCTGTCAGCGATCAATTATCCCCGATGGCTACCTGTTCTCACATTATTGGCGATATGGGTTGTTCTTATCTCTCAAGGCCGACTCACTTATTCTCCCTCTATCGCCGAGCCTGAGTTAACCTCTCAAGCAAATTTTACCACAGAATCAACAACAAAAACTCCACGGATTGTTATAGTCTATTCATACACCGAAAGCGAAAAGTCCCGCGAGAATTTACGATACTTCGTGAAGTTTGGACTTCACCGTGCAGCTGACTTCATTTTCATCTTCAACGGGAGGACAGATGCCCTCAGAGAAGTACCGGAAAGAGAAAATGTCCAGATTGTGACGCGAGAGGGAACTTGCTCCGATCTTGGGGCTCACGGCGAAGTTCTTCGCGGCAACAATATCTGGGAACAGTATGACTATTTTATTCTTCTGAATGCTAGTGTACGGGGTCCGTTCATGCCCTACTGGAGCAGTAGTTGCTGGTCTGACACGCTGTTGTCAAAAATAACCCACAAAGCCAAGGTAAAGTATTTGGCGTTCCCTTACTTTCCTTCGTTATTATTTCCTACGATGTGTGCTATTCAATCTTTGTTAGTAAACCAGTTCAACCGCCTGGACAAATAACCATAAAAGAGACTAATCGTTTAGCAGCTTGTTGGAATAACTGCGAAATGCTGGCCACGATTTTATGTTCCATCAATGGTCTGGGCCACGGATCAAACTGGGATCAGCCTTTTGCTTGATGCTTCCTTAGGAAGAAGTCACTCGATCTTCGGGGGACCTAGCGAGCTTGTTGGACTTAGCGGCTGCTACAATACGCTTCACAGTGCCGCTCATGCCGAGATGGGAGCTACGTTGATGATCACGGGCGCGGGATATACCGTTGACGTCTTGATGGCTTCTTTTCACAAAATCGGCGATGCTGGAAGTTATTGTAAATCAACACCTCCTGGGGTCCTGGATCCACTCCGAGAGGGAGATTATTTTGGGTTCAGCATTCATCCGTATGAGACTTTGTTCGCGAGAACCACGGCAGGTATGAGCTCCCTTCCAGTGGAGAACCTGTCATCTTGGATGAAAGACAGTGGATATTCAAGTTATTTGAGGTGCGGGGTGTAATAGGCTTACTCTGTGTCGCTTGGGACTTACGTCGTTACAAAAACTTGGAATACCAAGCGTAACATTCTTGGTCGTAATATCGCTACAGCCTTTTAAAGTGTATGGATTATATCTTCATTTCCACGAATATGACGTTAAAGTTTACTAAGCCAACAATACTCACTTTCCCAATTTAGGGCACTAATGGAATCTGCATGGCGTATCAGATGCCCTCACTTCTTCTATGCCACTGCTTCTAATCTTCCTTTGATATGAAAGAGCTCAATTAGTAGCCTGTCCCTGTTTCGTTTCTTCAGATCTTCCCTTCGTGGAATTTCCGCGTCCGCTCTACATAACGATACCATAAGTTTCAGAAAACAGTTCACCAAAAATCAGAGATCTATTGCAAGCTATAGTCTACTCGCGGTCACTCCCAAAAAGGTATGTGATCAATTTGACCAATCAATGTTGTCTAACTCCTCCGAACGTTGTCGCATTTGATTCCCTGAAGGGGGTCGCATTTGGTTGCCTGATTAGGAAACTTGAACCACAACTTATTTGTATGCCCAACCTCGACATTATGCTGATGCGCTTGGAATCTTTTCGTTCACAACTGCTATTCGGACTTGTCGCCAAAAATGACAGTTACCACGCTTTTTCCAGCCCTCTGCTACGTTCTGTCCTGGTGGATAGGTGCTGTCTATTCTGTCCCCTTTGAGGTAGAACAGAAGCACCTTCCCCACCAGGACCCATTACCGTCACTCTTGTGGCACCAGCCAAGAGTCACTAGACAAGACGACAGGCTCCGTGATGCAGGCTCGCGGCAATGGACAGGCTTTGTTCCCGTCAACCGTAACAGAGAAATGTTTTTCTGTGTGTTAATCAAGATTTTATTCAGATTGTCAATTTTGGATGGTTCTGACAATTCCTAGGGTACTTCGAAAGTCGTAACAATCCTCAAACTGCGCCATTACTTATTTGGGTCAACGGGTGCGTCGATCGCTGCGATCAGATTCGTTTTCGTCTTTCTACATCCTCGGACTTTCTAACGGCAAGGTTGCTTTACCAGCGGCCCTGGTGGTTCGTCTCTTCTTGGTGCTTTTTACGAGCTTGGCCCATGCAAAATCAACGAGGCTGGCAATAGTACGACGAGGAATGCTTTCAGTGGGACAAATTTCGCCAATGTTCTCTTCATTGAGTGAGCGGGCCTTTGTAAACACCATGCCTTATTCCCACTGACCCACGAGCTTACTAGTCAACCTATCGGGGTAGGGTTCTCTTACACGAACGATTCGAATCTTTGGGCCCACGATTTGAACGAGGCCGAGAATGACTTCGATAAATTCCTGGACATCTTCCTTGATGATGTCTTTCCCGAACTATCCAACAGGTCTATCCACTTCGCGGGTGAGTCATTTGGTGGACAATACGTTCCTACGTATGTCAGCAGAATGAGAAGAAGACTGGATTCCATCATTCTATTAAACGCCCTTGTCAGCTTTCCAAAGGTTGTTCTAGGTCTATATGAGCACTTTTGCATGCCAACTTCGGTCCAAGGCGTCGAGCTTTCGGTATCTCGAAGAGGCTTCAACGACACCGAGTGTGCTGAGATGGCTGCCGGTTATCCCACGTGCGACCATTTCAGCCGACTCTGTGATATGGCATACGATGGTAAGACATGCGAAGCAGCTTACGGAGCGTGCAAACCTGTCGAGGATGTTGTCATGAATAAGGTCACCCCTGGTGGTCTCAACCCCTACGATGACCGAGTTGACTGTATTGAGCCTCCCTTATGCGGTCGTCTCGGTAGGTGAGCACTTACAGCCTAAGTCACAAATACTAACAGACATCAGGTATGGAGGAGATCACTAAATACCTGAACCAAGCACATGTGCAAAAGCAAATAGGTGTTGAGAACCAGATTGACTTCAAGACGGTGAACATGGACTTGAACGAGCAGTGGTCTAAAGCCTCTGAGCTTTTTGTTCCCACAAGTCGCGAAGTAGCTGCAATCCTTGATAAGAAGCACACTCGGGTTCTAGTCATCAATGGAAACAATGACATCATCGTGTACGTCTGTAAATACCTTTGGAGCGAAAAGGATTCACCTGCGGCTAACGCTTGCTTGTAGGAATACCGAGGGGATCAAGCGCATTTTCGATGACCTTTTGTGGGAGGGACAAGCGCAATACCGAGTTTCACCATGGATCAGCCTTTATTTTCAAGAACCATTGGGCAACCATATTCATGTGGGGATGTCGAAGACCAGTGGAAACCTATCCATCGTTACTGTTGATGAGGCAGGGCATATCGTACCTCATGATCAGCCTGAAGCGGTCATGCTTGTTGTCAAAAACTGGGCTATGCATGGAAGCGTATGGCCGCAAGAGCATCGGTCTCCGTTTGAGACTGCTGTGATTTAACAACAAACCATTTTCTCCCAGAGGCAACATTGCAGTTTCGAAGTTACAGCATCGCGAAGGAAGGGGAAAACCATAATCCTTTAGTGGTCAAAATCATATCACTCATTGTTGTTTCAATGTGTTAACAGCTTGAATAACTCATGTCTCTTACATTCATTTCTGATTTCAAAACGCCTATCCCTATTTGTTGCTTTCCACACCAGTGTGTTTAAGCCTTTGCCATGGCCACTGAGAAATTAAAACCCGATGTATCAACCACGTCCCATGTGTTTAGAAACGCACGCGCATACGTTTCCCCGCCGGGGCTGCGGGAGCCGCGGGGGCTCCGGCAGGAGGGGGAGCCGGAGCGGCAGCTGGTGGAGCAGCTGGCTTCGGGGCGGCGGGTGGGACAGCAGCTGGCTTTCCTCCGGCCGGTGGAGCGGGGGCTGCAGGAGCTGGAGCCGGGGCCGCGGCCGGCTTGCCACCGGCTGGAGCAGCAGGGACCGGAGCGGCAGCTGGAGGTGGCGCAGGCTTGCCCGCAGCTGGTGCGGCGGGAGGCGCAGCAGCGGGAGGAGGAGCAGGCTTGCCAGCAGCGGGAGCGGCAGGAGCAGGGGCAGCGGGCTTCGGAGCTGCAGCCGGAGGAGCCGCGGCCGGGGGAGCAGGCTTGGGAGCAGCGGGGGGAGCCGCGGCGGCAGGCTTGGATCCAGCGGGTGCGGCCGGCGCAGCTGGAGCCGGAGCCGGCTTAGACGCGGCAGGTGCTGCAGGAGCTGCAGCTGGAGGTGGTGCGGCAGCTGCTGGAGGGGGTGCGGCAGCTGCTGGAGGGGGTGCGGCGGCACCAGCAGCGGGAGCGGCAGCGTTAGGAGTAGCAGCTCCCTTCTTCTTGAGAACGCCAGCAGCCGCACCCAGCACAGTGTTCAAGGGAGCCGCAAGGGGGTTGGCAGCAGCATTGCCAGCAGGGGCTGCCGCGTTGGCGGGTTGACCCTTGCCCTTCAGCACACCGGCGGCGGTTCCCAGGACTGTTCCGATAGGATCAGCGGCTTGCGAGCCTGCGGGTGCCGCAGCACCAGCTGGTTGGCCTCCCTTGCCCTTGAGAACACCAGCGGCAGTTCCAAGAACAGCACCAACTGGGTCGGCAGCTTGACTTCCCGCAGGGGCAGCAGCAGCACCAGCAGCCTGACCGTTGGTCTTGCCCGTCAATGTTCCGAGCACCGAGCCGATGGGATCAGCGGCCGGGGCTGCAGCTGGAGCTGCAGCCGGAGCCGCAGCAGGAGCCGCAGCAGGGGCGGCGGAGGCGGCAGGAACGGCCGCGGCCTGTCTAGCTCCCAGGGCTGGGCTCTTTGCTTTCTTGGCCGCCTTTGCCGGAGCAGCAGCAGCGGGTGTCTTACCCTTCGCCTTTGCTGGAGCGGCGGCGGTGGCAGTCTTGCCCTTGGCCTTCGCCCCAGTAAGACCTCCAAGGAGCGAGCCGATAGGGTCCGCCGCAGCAGCATTGTTGCCCTTGCCCTTGGCAGCAGCAGCACCCGCACCTGCTCCTCCAGCAGCAGTACCGCCTGCACAGTTCCTAGGGTAAAGGTCAGCCTCTTGCACTGCTACGGCAGATAATAACTTGTCCAAACGCACCCGGTGATTGCCCCAGCTTGTGCTCTGGTACACTTTGCATTCTGGCCGCCCTGTTCATAACGTTCAGTGAGACGTCTTTGCTAGTCTTGAAGCAAGGAGCGCTTACAGCGAGTAGGCAGTCCAAGTCGTCAAAGCATACAGCTCCCTGTTGGGCAGAGACGTAGCTCGCGCACAAGGCGGAGGCGAAAACAATAAATCCACGCATGATAGTCTTCTTTGAAATTAGGAAGGCAATAGAATTGAATGATGGGGATCCGGATCACGAACACGAACTAGTCGTATTGGGAGCCGTAGTGATTTATAGAGGTGAAGAGACTATGGCGAAACGGCCGGTACCTGCATACAGCTCAGCATCCAGCCAATGATGGGATGCAACTTGGTGAAAGCCGAGGCAGCCCTCGGTGTACATGTGGATGCAGCCGTTCTCAAATACCATAGATATGCCTTCCAAACGTCTCGAGATTTGTTTGACCGGAAAGAGCCCCGACTCCTCCAGAACATACCCGTCTGTGCACTGCATCATGGTTCAGATCCTGCCGGCTGAGGATGAGGGCAGAGGCTCAGCTGCCAGGAAGCGGGACCTACTGCTGTTGCACTGACGTTTCTGCGGACGTCAGTCAGCACTGTCAAAAGAATGGTCAGTTCATCTGAAGTAATTGACAAATTCGAGTGTGTTTGCTTGCCACGGGAGGGCTTGAGCTTGCATCCGAATGCGCGCTCTTCCAGCCACGACGCTTAAGAAAATAAACTCGGGCCCTGCGTCGGCGTCTCACGTCACTGATAAAGTGTCAAAGCCTGTCACACCATCAGTAGCAATGACTGGATTTGTCAACTTGTCTGCGTCTCGAGGTGCCAGTATTTCTGGATGGCTGCAATTGCCAATCGGTGTACTGCTGGGAGCCTGAGACAGTCAAAGGCCTTATTCTGAATGGGTCTACTCGTCGAAGGTACAGCCTGTTCATAAGCCTGGGAGGCGACATGCCGGCTGAGAAACTTCCAGGTGCATCCTAGTTTGAACTTACCTTGAATGTCCGATTGCGCCCCATGTTCCTTCGAATCCTAGCATGCATGCAGAACTGTGGCAACGTCTGTAAACTGTGCAAACAAGCTTTGTTTGATTTCAGTATCTTCTGATTTCTCTCTGAGTGCGACCTTTCGCTGTAAGAGCACTAATAGGAAGCATCCGGCGAAAGAGCTGCGAACGGTTGGTGGATGTTGAGGTTATCAGGCCACGTTGACACAGTAATCAATGCTGCATTTCGATGCCTTTTTTTTTTTTTTTTTTTTGTGACTGGCCTGGACCCTATTGTATTGTTCGGTGTTAAGGAAAGTTGTACGATAGTCTGAGCTGAGATTCTAGGACTCCAGGACTGTCGTAGTTTGGTGAGGGTTGTGGCAATGTGTGTTGAGGACGGGTCTCTGTCACATCTGTGCTCCTTCACCCCATTTCACCTTCGGCCCGAACTTCTTCTTCTTTTCTTCCAAGGCTTACATACACTAGTTCAATGTTTGATCTTGCTAAGTTTACATCGTCTACATTTATATATCATCGTTTCGTTTCTTGCACTTGATAATGCTGGGTGGCATGCAGTCTGATCAGATTTCTGAAATATCTCACACCTTACACGTTAACCATGAGCCCAGGTGTCCAACTACTTACATCTCATCTCTTATATCAAACTATTTCACCTCCCTACCTTCGGAATGGCATTCGTCCTCGAATACAGTTCTGTCAGCTTATCAACTTCCCACAACGAATGGGGCAGACGAGCCAATACCCAACAAAGTAAGCAAAACATCAGACCGATCCGTCAATAATGTCAAAAGGCCTGCGTATGAGGTTTTTTAGATACCTTGGAAATTTTACCTCAGTTCTACTCCGGCCCTCGCAGGCTTCATGTCATTCTGGGTACGACTTGCTGAAAACCTCTCGGTACCTCACCGTGTATCTTTGCAAACAACATAGTGGCTCTCTGAAATGAGCATGTATGTTCCTCCACGTATGAAATTACTCAGCCGCTCACTGACGCGGATATCCGTGGAAATCTCTGCCGAACCAATACTCCCCGATGGCGCGGCCACTTTGGCCGCAAGCGCCGCCCACCGCCGTGAAAGCCCCACTTTCCGCCGCCCAAATTCGCCGGTATCAACGATTGCGCCCCGCATCGTGCCGGCCAATTTGGTCCTGAACCTCACTTTGGTGCTCCATCATTTGTAATACCACAAGGAAGACTTCTTGTTGACATTTGGCACATTTGTCATCCGCCCCTTCGACGGGAAGGATAAAAGGCACACCTAGAACTCCCAACTGAGGAACCTACAGAACAGCACCCATCAAACAAGATCCAACCTTCTCTTCATCCTATCAAACATCACCTTCCTCGGCTACACCAGATCATCTAAGTCACAATGTCTATCGCTCTAGTTACCGGAGGCAACGCAGGCATCGGGGAAGCCGTCGTTCGTCTTCTGTCCAAGACTCCCAATTTCCATGTCATCATTGGATCCCGCAATCCCGACTCCGGTATCGAGCTTGCCAACTCGCTCAAGAAGCAGGGTCACTCCGTTTCCTCTATCCAACTAGACATTACTTCTGATGACTCGATCAACAATGCCATTGACCACATCACCAATGTTCACGGCAAGCTCGATGTCCTTGTCAACAACGCAGGGGTCGCTCTTGACACTAAGCCGGACGAATTTGTGTCCACTCGAGACCTATTCTCCAAGACATTCAACACGAACGTCTTTGGCACTGCAGCCCTGACAGAAGCCGCTCTTCCGCTTCTCCGAAAGGGCAACCATCCCCGTGTCATCTTTCTTTCGTCTACGATGGGCTCCCTTGAGGTTTCGGGAAACCCGGACACCTTTTTCTACAACAACGACTACAAGGCTTACGACGCCAGTAAAGCGGCGGTCAACATGCTTTCGGTCAATTATGCTCGCATCTTGAAGCCCTTTGGCGGAGTTTCTAACGCCGTCTGCCCGGGTCTGGTCAAAACAAAGATGAACGGGTTCATGGAGGCTGGTGAACCTGTGGAGGTTGGAGCCGAGCGCGTCATCCAGCTTGCAACTGCTGCACCGGGTGGTCCTTCTGGAACCTTTTCGAACAGAGAGGGTGCAATTCCTTGGTAATCATCGGTGGATTGATGGTCGGAAATTTGTTCCTTTGTAGTTTTAGGCAATCTGCAATGGTTTAGTCGGCATTAGTTGTTTGGAATAGATCATATAGGGAATTTGCTAGTACTACAGGTCAAGAGCTGCCTTACCCTCAAAAAGTGCCTGTGTTTTGGAAATTTGCTATTGTTTCATGAATACGTAGTTGTGCGTTCGATTTCCAACAGCGCCCAATGTCGGTTCCCGGTAGGAGCGCAAAAGATGATTCACGTGATAGATTCAGCACGTTTCGAAGGCACGCGACAGAGTTTATGGCACCGCCGGCAGTGCCGTCTCATTAAAAAGGTAAAGACAGCTTGCGAGAGACGCACACTCGTGACTGTTGACCATGGACTTTGACGAATTAAATCATGTTCACTGCAACGTTCAGTAGAACGCCCAGATTGTCTACCCCGGCATTCCAAACATCCAGCCTGTCAATCACTGCCTGGTGATTTGCCCCTTTATTCAGCTCGTAAAGATCTCCAAACGTCACAGGCCTCTTGTCTAGATTTCGCATGCTACTAAGTGCCTCCGTTTCTTCCTTCCATTCGTCAGATGTATTCGCAGTCCACTGCGACTGATGGCACGGAAGTCTTAGATTATGCCAAGCATCTAGGATACCGCATGGCATACCCATTCTCACCGAGCTGATTTGAGCGACAAGAAACCAAACGCATGCAATTCTGAAACAGGGTTAACGACCGTCAATCGCAAAGAAGACTGAAATGTACCTTGTAAGAGATTCTTCAAGAATCCAATCATCCCATTCAGTCATTTTGCTGACAGCAGCATCGCAAGAAGTCACATCGAGGGTAATCAGCTGACTCCAGAAACCCTTGGTACAAGGTCAGTGCGTAGTTCCTTTTTCATGATTGTCGCAGCAAACCTTGTATGCCAGCAGCATGTTCGTGTTGTACTCTCGACCCTGAACTTCTCCTCCGCAGCAGCCATCCACGACTCGCATCATGATGTAAATCAATTGCGATTGCATGGCCGCAAAGACGTCATACTTAGACCAGCCGGCCATCTGCAGATTCGAATTATTATCTTGAGCAAGGCTTGGGATTGCGAGGCTTGTTTTACCTCTCGAAGGCACCTTTCTTGCTCATCCCGAATCGTTTTCCACAAGAAGGCCTGAGTGTCTTTATTCCTTGCCGCATACAAGACAGCTATTCCCATGCAGTTCGCTAGTGGTACAGGAAGCTTGCTTTTGTCTTGATGAGGATGGATGAAAGGCGGAAACGTCGAGCGCCGGAGCATCATTTGGGGGTATGCAGCCAGGGATTGTCTAATAACACTTGCGCTAGCTTGAACGGCAGCGCTGTGAGGTCGGATGCTGCTGAGAGGAAACGAGATCCGAGAAATGGAAGAAATGGTGCAGTCATTGACCATGCCGGATATGGCGATCTCGTGCAGTCTACCCGAAAGAATCATATCCGTATCGCCATCGATTTCGTTGGGGAGACAGACTGCAAGATTTTCGGGCGTGAGGCGGTTGAGATCAACTCCACCAAGGTTGTATGAACTGATCCAGTCTTGCGCCTCACCAGCAGGCAAACACAGTGTACCGTTATCCCGGGTACCACCGTATAGATTGAGCTCTCCAATACTATCAGACGCTGGCGGCATGGGTGTGGAAGCTGCCGCTGGTTCGTTTTGTCTTTGGTAAGTAACAGCGTCGGAATAACTACAGACAAGCCCCTTTTTAACACAGCGACTGCATCTTTCCTCGAGATTGCACTTGCTTTTCGCTGCTCGGCATTCTATACAAGGCTTAGGTCTGATACGAGGCCTATTTCTTGCTCGTCGACAGTACGCGACATGTCTTTTCAATGCAGTCTCTGTCACATGAGTTAGACTAATGGTACTGTTGGTCGGGGATCCGCAATTACGGAAGCGTCCTGCACGTAGAAAGACCGCATTCCCTCGGCCTTATCTTCATGGACATTGCCGTAAATCCCCTGCTTAACTTTGGGCACGAAAGATGAGACATTACAAGATACCCACCTTGGCTAAAGGGTTTGTTGCAAATAGTGCAAAACAAGACTGGAGGGGCAGCCTGAACCAAGCTGAAGTTCAATAGATCCTCGGCTGTGTCCAGGTTCATCGTTATGCTGCGTCTTTAGGCAAAGAACCTCGATGGGCTGGCTATTCGAACGTGGCTGGCACGCGGTGATGGCGGTGATTGAATCAAGTTTGTTCTTCGCAGACAGGTAGTCATACCAAAGCTCACATACAAAGTGTCAGATTGTCAGGTTGAATTAGTAATTCAGACGTTCAAACAGACACTAGCCGTGAACGAACGGCGCGAAGGATTCCTTGTTTGTCAGCAGATGCACCACCCGAGCTGTCAGACGGAGATAATAGACCAGAATATCCGACCAGCCCTTCAGCTCGTACGACAATTAAAGCGAGACGCCATACACGCCAAAATTTGCAAAAGGGAGCAGAGTTGTCACTGACAGCATCAACACACAGCGAAGATCATTGAGATAACATGCAAGATGCAAATGGCGAGCACACGTCTTGTTGACGAGGGGGTCGAGTAGCTGGCATCTCGCACGATTCAGTGCTGAAAACAGCCGCGGCATTGGCGCCTGAAATATTACTGCAATTGCCTGGCTGGTGCAGGACGATGGCGCAGTGGCATGAGCTTGTCAAATCTCATCTTACGAGCCAGTCACGGGACCCAGCTGTTAGGCATGAGGCTGGCCGCTGTAACGCGGCGGTTAGCGGATACATGCAGACTTGAGCCAACCGCAAGAGAGATGGAGGAGACGCTTGAAGTACGTTGACATCAACGCGGGGGGCCTTTCACTTGGCCCGTGGAGGCCTAAGATGATGAGGCGATTGCCGAGAAAGCCGCCGTTATCACATCCCGTACGAAGACCGGCCGAGAGTCTCTCTGCGCTCCCAACCACACGATTTGAAGGCTTCCATGATCATTGAGAGGCTGGAGGTTCGATCCAAGGGGGCAAGCCGGTTTTGAGTTCGAGACTGGGCTAAAAGCCTGCCGCGAGGTGACACTTGCCACCTGCTGTCGTGTCGCGCTCTCAGCCGCCATCCGGGACAGAGAGCAAGAGCTTCCGGCGACACACAGGTGATCTGCCAGGACCGAGACCGCGGGGTGCGGGTGAAGCTCTGAAGTTGGGGGTGTCGCAGGTGCATCGCAGCCCAATGGAGAGAGTTTGGAGGGTGAAAGAGCCCGATGGTGGTGGTGTGGCAGGATCGGCGGCTGCAGTTGATGGAATTGATGAGGGTGCGGATTGACAGGGGCATTACGAACCCAATGGGAAGGGCCGCGGTGGAGGAAAGATTGGCTTTTGACGATGATAGGTGCGAAGGAGGGGAAGACGGTTCCTTTTTGATGTGACCGGTCTGCCGGGTGTGAACTGGTGGGTGGGTGAGCTGAGACTGAGTGAGAGCGAGAGGGGACAACGGGTGAGTTGTCTGGTGAGTGAGACATGAGCGTTTAAAGTGAGGAGATGCCGAATGAGACCGTGCCGAGAGGAGCATTCGGGCGTTTCTCCCGCCCCGCAATCACCCACCTGCGCGCCCACTGCCCACGTTCACGTTGCTGCTGTCAGTCCAACATGAATGTCAGGTCAGTCAATCCACCATGGCGATAGTCGACGGATAACGGCTCTCGGCCAAGCGGTCGGAGCTGGACGCACGACGTCAGGAACGCAGGATTGGGGACTGGGTTGCAATGAATGAGCAGTGCCTTGCTGGACACAGATGGGAGGGTTGGAGGGCTGTCTCAATTCAGATTGAGGGAGTGAAGCTGTACAACCTCATCGACCTCATCGTGCGTGATGCGTCATGCAGCAGGAGACAGCGCACCACAATTCGAAGGTCAGGAGAAGGTCGAGGAAGGCCACCGGTAGCCGCAGCCGCAGCGGAGAAGCAGGATGAGGATCCATCGGGGATTAACAATCACGCCAAGAGAGGTTCAGACATGATCCAATTGGCGAGAACTCGACGACATGAGGGACGAATTTAGAAGAGTCGTACGCGTGCCTGACATTCCAAGCCACCCCTAGCTGGCTGATGAGTGATGTAGCGATGCGGTGAGGAGGGCTGGTATCCGTGACAGCTGTGGCCTGTGGCCCTTGCGCCGTAATCATCCTGGGAAAGGGACGGACGGGCGACGGGAGCGGCAGAGGGAAGACACAGACGCGGCAAAGAGCACAGGCGCCCGGGCAAAAGAAGGCGAAGCGAAATAGAGAGGGCGGAAGGGTGCCAGGTGGGAAGCGGGAAGGGGAAGCTCTGGCCTGGTCGGAATGGGCGGGAAGAAGCCGGAGACCAGATTGACAAGGACCAGGCCTGTGAGCGAGGTGAAGTCTGGAAGCGCGGAGAGACGTGAGTGGCCACGGATGAGCTGAAGAGGAGGTGAGAGTGGGCCAGACCGTTTCTCATGTGAGAGGCAAAGAGGGTAAAAGACCCAAGTCACCGACCGAGTCGAGTGAGAGACGAGGGCTTCATTCTGTTTCTGGCGGTGGCCAGCTGCAACGGCGCCCAAGAAACTGTAAAAGGGGCGTCGCCGGTTTCCACCGCGGCCAATCGCTGACATGTCGCCCTGCTCTTGACGGTCTGGCCTGGTCCTGTCGGCGCCACGGAGGAGGGAGGGGGAGGGGGGTGTTTGCTGAGAAGTTTTGATTGCCATGCGTCCGCTGCCTGCCAGTGAGTGCCAGCGCCGTCGCCGTGCCATGGCCTTGGAGGAGGTGGACTGCAACTGTGATTGCGAGTGCGATGTGCTGCGCTGCCCTGCGCTGCATCTTGCGACTAATTGCTCTGCATCTTTGGGTACCTACACACACACACACACACACACACACCACTCATTGCCGGTTGGAAACATCGCGCACGACGGGCATCGTTTCGCTCTGATTGCTGGACGTCGCTTGGTCTCGATATGGCATCTGGCTGGGGCGCATTATGAGGTGTTTCTTTTCACTGGCTGTCTCTCCTAACTGGCGCTTCTCTGGCGATAACATAAGAACTAATTGCCGGGTATTTCATCGAAAAGAGGCCCCTCGTCGTTCATGTTGTTTCCCCCCCTACCTCTTACTTCCCTCCTCCGCATCCCTTGTGTGTGTGTTTTTCACTTTTCCCCCGCTCTTTTGCTCCCATCTCAACCAACACATCGAGACGTGCGCCGGGGCCTGCATCGCGTCCACGCGCGATAGCCTCAACTCTCTCATCCCTCACATATCCATACCCATACTCATATTCTCACACCGTTCTTCCGCCATCTCCGTATTTTTTGATCATCTGTCTTGCTGTGCGTGTCACAAACGACATCTCCGTCCCCATCGTCATCTCCATCGCCAGCCTCTTGACATCCATCCCGGGAACGGGCTCACCGTCCCAAGCAAGCAACGTCCACCACCCGGCTGGCTTCCGCCGCCGTCGTCCACTTTGACAACGGTCCCAGCCTGTTTGTCACTCATCATCCACCTTTAAACGGGCTCTGAGCCAACAGCCAACGTCTCGGGATCCTGCCGTCACACTAAGACAGAGATCTCCTGCTCAACTGCGTTAAGAGCGGTGGAGCGATTTGCGACGCCCGTCCCCTTCCTGGGCTCTTCCGTTCCGTGGCCCCCTGTCACCCAAGTCGGTACTCGCTTCCGTTTGAACTTTGACGGTGGAGTTGTTTTAGGGGCCTCCTTTCCTTCACCGCATCGTCGACAGCGACGAACCCTGCCTTTGCACGGCGCGCCCAGAACTAACAACTGCCCCGAGGATCCCCTCAAGTGGCTCCCCAGACAGCGCGTGAAGAGACTTTTGGCGGTGGACAGGCTCCCTCTTAGACGTGTTGGACCAACCTCCCGCCCTGGGTTCCCTGTCGTCACTTAAAGGACCGGAAGCTTCAAAAATCGACTAGTAGCACCACCACATAAGCTCCAAAAACGCGCGCGCATTCACACACACACACACCAGGTCACCGCCTGTGTGAGTGCACTCACACCTTTTGCTCCCTTCGACATATCACACACACGCATCTTCTCTCAAGTCTGTCGCCGGACGAGTGACTGAAACTCAAACACCATGGCCCTCACTCAGACGGTCACCATCATCAACAACTCGGGAAAGATTATAAGTACCGTACGTCTCTCTCGCTGGCTCACACCCGTTGCATTTCCCCCCACCGCCCCTCTGAAATTCCAAGTCCAGCCCTCGCCAGGCCGCGTGTTTTGCAACATTCGACCTGCAAGATGCACGCGCACTACAACTCCGAGATGACCGTTGAGGCCCAAAGCTGACGTATCATCTTTTTCTTCTGCTGCAGGGCAAACAACTTGCTGGCATCTTTAAAGAAGCCAAAGCCTCCTACCAGGAGAAGAAGGCCTCTATCAAGGCCGACCGCGAGCTGAAGCGCGCCCAAACCTTCGACACATCCCGCGATCTCCCTCCCGAGGCTTTTGAGCGCCGTTGTTCCTATGACGATGGCCACTCTGTCGCCAGCTCCCGCAGGAGTCACCGCTCCCGGCGGTCTCACTATCCCGAGCAGGACTATTATCCTCCGTCAAGACCGGCCTTGACCGAAAACAACCTCAAGGCTCACTCTGAAGTGTCCAGCGTCACTCCCTCGAGAGCACCCTCGGCTGCATACCGCTCTCCCTATGCAGAGACCGCACCCCGTGATATGCAGATGAGCCGCCCGGCCATGCAACACTACACAGTCGCTCCGGCATGCAGCGACAGTCTCGCCGATTCTGCGACCATTCGCGGCGCCAATGTTCCCCGCACAATGTCGGCGCCGGCCGTACCCACTATCGGAAAGAAGAAGAAGGAAATCGATATGGACCTCGCGTACGGCAACATCCCTCCGGATCTGCAGGACCGAACCGATCTGGACCCCAAGGAGGACAAGGCGAAGGATCTGATAGCCCGGGTCGAGGGGCTTCTCGACGAAGCACATTGCGTGCAGCACACCGCCGCGGCCACCATCGCCCACCTTCAAGGAAACCCCGAAGCCGCTGCCGCCGTGGCCCTGACGCTCGCCGAACTTTCGACTCTGCTGAAGAGCATGTCCCCGGCCTTTCTGACCGCCATCAAGGGAGGGTCTCCGGCCGTATTCGCACTCCTCGCCTCGCCCCAGTTCCTCATCGCGGCCGGCGCCGCCGTTGGCATGACTGTGGTCATGTTTGGCGGGTGGAAGATCGTGAAGCAGATCAAGGATGCCAAGGCTCAACAAGCGGCCGCCATGAACAACGCCATCGCCATGGAGGCACAGCCGGCGCCTGCCGTGCAGCCGCCCGTCGAGTACACGTACGACCCGTACGATCAGTTCGACCCGTATGGACAGCAACCTCGCGAGGGCAGCGTCACGTACGACGAGGCCGTGGTCCTGGATGAGCGCTTGGAAGAGGAGCTCAGCTCCATCGAGACTTGGCGCCGCGGCATCGCGCCCATGGGTGAGGATGAGAGTGTCGACATGGAGCTCATCAGCCCCGAGGCCGCCCGCTCCATCCGTGGCGACCCGGATACCCGTACGGAGCGCAGCTTCCGCACGACGCGCAGCTCCAAGACGCACCGCAGCTCCAGGACCGAGAGGACGCACCACTCTTCCAAGTCACACCGCAGCAGCGCTAGCGTGCGTGAACCGGACGTCCCGGAGCGCAAGAGCAGTGTCGCGAGATCTGAGCGAGGCGCCGACACGGAGAGCATCGCCAGCAGCCACCGAAGCCACCGCAGCTCGGCCTCCAAGAGGACGGGTCGGGTGTCGATGCTGACGATTGAGGAGGGCAAGAGCGAGAAGGATGCTGAGGTGATCGACATTGCGACTCGACCCAAGAAGAACAACATGCTCAAGTCATTGTTCAAGAAGAAGGAGAGAGAGCACAGGGACAGGGACGAAAGGGTCTCCGCCCTCGTGTTCTAAAACGCGACCATGAAAGATGAAGGATGACAGACGACAACGACAAGAACGATTGAAGATGAAGACGAAGACGAAGATGAAGATCAAGACAGGAAATCATGCATTTGGCTTGGGCGGCTTCCCAGCCTGGACGGAGTTGGGTTTGTAACGGATACGCACTGACGAAGGGTTCGATTGGAATTCGCCCTCGTGTTTTCATTTTTCCTTGCTTTCTTTGTGCATAATCATTGGGACTGTTATCATTATTGGAAGGAACAAACATACCTACAAACATTGTTACATGATCTGAGCGATCAGATCTCGACTTCGCGTCGGTAGATATTCTCGCAGAATACATAAGATTTCTCGTTCTTATGCCAACAACGTCATTTATTCACTTTGCAGTGCCCACCCAGCACGATATTCGTGACTGGTAAGAGAGCGAGATCAAGTGGGCATATGAGGCTGAAGTAGCTGTTAAAACCGTCTCTTTGCATCGGAGTGGCAGTGCTTTAAGGCTGGGCAAGACATCGCCGGCCTGGAGAGACGGCGGCGTAGGGCTGAATCGGAGATGTGGACGGTTCGGGAGCAATAGCATCAGACCATCTCACCCAAGTCCGGTTTTGGTCTGGCTGCGTACACCATCATCGCCGTCTGAGCTTGAGAAAAGAGAATGCGGCAGGAGACGCTCTTCTCATCTCAAGTGACCAAGGGGGCACAAGAAGTGCGAAATGCATGTCAGCTCCTCCCGCGGTCGTCCGCCTTCGTAAATGGTCTTCCCCCGCCGCCGACGGCCAATACCAAGATGCCCCGGCCCTCGGCGGTGCAGCCACACCACGCGGGTCACATCTCACCGGGTCCCTTAGCCTGCCCTATCTGCTCCTCCCAGGGCTCTTCCGAGTCAATTTGGCTCGACTGTTTCTTCTTTGCGGCTGGCTACATCGCCTCCGCATTACCAGCGTCCCAAGAACCACGAAGTCGGGATCAGCTCAGACGTAGTCTCAACCAACCTTGGTTCATCCAAGCGTTCTCATCTGCTTCGAACATCAACCCACGCCCGAGCTTGCCAGCCGCAAATACGGTGGGTTTCTCATCACCGGTGCATCGGGAATGTTTACTCAAACGATCATTGGTGAGTGGCATCGAAAAGACCTCGCAGCGCTACTCAGGTCTGACAGTCCCCCGGTCTCATTGCCCCTCCCACCTAAATCTCTTTTCCGCCGTCTCACCTCATCCTCAACCCTGCATTGCATCTGAACAACCATGTCCACGTAAACAATCTCACCCGTTCTGCTCATTGTTGGCTCCACGAGGCGAAGACCGAGCACCAGCCCTTCCTTCATACTGTAATGGGAGCAGTCTGGGATCGCTGTCGTAATCTAGCGTGTCCACAGTCCACGATGAAAGCCATCGAGAATGCGACCGCGACGAAGGCAGCAACAAATGTCCCCGGGCAGAATAGGCCCCCAAGACCGGTCTCGCCCATGAGCAGAAGGCAGACCAAGTTCTCAAGGCGCATCCTGGTCGCCACTCGCACATTATCGCCAATCACACGAGGGCTGCAGAATCCCAACCAACCCGCCGCGTTGGTGACGGGCTACGCCAGACCTGCGCCATCACATCCAGCTGAGCCAATTTTGCTGCAGATGCCAGTCGCAGCCCCGAGGATGCGGCCCCCAGGCATTGTAGACTTTCTTCGTACCGGCGCAGTTCAAGGTCCTCCCTCCACTCTGTCTGCTCATGTCGAAAGTGTAGGACGCCGGAGAAGAGCGCAAGACAAGTAGCCATCCATGTACACCCCCTCCGGCAAGTGATGTTGGTGGTGTTTCCCACCCAGCTGTGCCAGCCTTGTTGGCGGGAGGGAGCGCGCGAGTGCTGTGTCTTATTAGTTCCCTTTTCTCCCTCCTTCCCACCTTCTTCCTTCTCTTCTGATCATTGCTCGTTTAAGCTGCTTCTCACTGAGATCTGGGAGTCTAGGCTCCTTGCCGCTCACTCCCGTTCCCACCTCACATCCGCAACCCGCACCGATAACATCTTGAGATGCCTCGATAGAAGCGCGCCATTTTTCTTCTCTTTCTCATTAAATACAGTATTATTATTCCGCAACATCGTCAATGTATTCACATGCCCTCGGCATCCTCCCGCTGTCGAATTCCAATTGATACCACCACCCAATAGACAGTCCCGCGGAAGCTGAACAACATAAAACGCTCCTCCCCCACAATCTAATACCTAATTCAAGACGATGGAAGGACGAGACTACAACCAGGGGCTTGGCCTCCACGGCTCCCCTGAGATTCCAATGACCCCATCCACAGAATGGCATGCCTCCCGCCAGCTCCCCCGGAAACCGATCCCCCAAACCCCGACTACGCCGGCGCCGATCGGCAGCCCGCCCGGGCCATACGGCCGCAGCCCGCCGACACCTACCGCGAAATCCCCTCAACCATCTTTCTCCGAACGCGCCGCTGCCGGCGCTGCTGCCTACTTTCCGACGACACAGACCTTTGGCAACCATGGCCAGCACCAACCTCGGCCGCGGCCGTCGCCGCTACAACTAGACTCGTATGAGTACTCCAACTACACGCCGTCTCAGTCGGAGTTCAGCACGCCGTACACGGGCGGCTTTCCGCCAAAAAAGCAGGTCCGCATCGACTCGCACTCGGCTCTCTTGTCCTCACCTCCGTATCAGCCCCCGCCGGGCCGGCCAGAATCATACACGTATCACCCACCGGGCCACATTGCAGTCTATCAGAGATGGTGGCATCCATCATGGAACATGTACTTCTTCCTGTTCGCCGGTGTCGCTTTTGCCATGGGCCACCACTTCTTTTACAAGCATCTCGATGGTTCCGAGGCTACGAACCAGCTCCGTATGCTCCGCTACGGCGCAGCGCTCTCGTTCCTCAGCAAAGCCAGTCTCGCATCTGCTGTGATCCTCGCCTTTCGACAACGCGTGTGGATGACTGTGCGAAGGAAGATGCTTACACTGGCAGCAGTCGATTCCCTCTTTGCCGCAGCGGAAGATATGTCCGCCATTTTCAACTTCGAAGTCTTCAAGCAGGCCAGAGTCGCAATGATCCTCGCTCTTTACATCTGGTGCACACCCCTCGTGGTAATTCTTACATCCGATACCCTCGGCGTGCGGCCCAAGACCATGAAAGAAGACGCCATGTGCCCTAACGTCCGCAATCTCAATTTCAATCAGGAAGAAGACGGAGACTTTCGCGCAGGGAAAAAAAGCAATGGGCTATTTGTGCTTTCTGTGTCGCTTTGGAATACCACAATGGCCGAACCGGTGAACAAGACGGACCCAGATTTCTTGGATTATTGGGCTGGTCCTAGTGACCAATTCGAACAAATAGCCACCTCGGCCGCCTTCCAAGGAAAGCCCATCGGACGTCTCGAGGCCAGCGATGAGATCTGCGGCATCGGCCATAATTGCACGTTCAACATCACGTTCACCGGTCCAGGCTACAGGTGTACCGAGCTTGCGAACGGTGTTGGCGACACCATAAAAGACCTCAACGGTGCGAGATGGCCCACCGAGTATTTCAACTTCAGCTCGCTCGCCCCAACAGGAGATCACACCTACTATGCACACGCGTCTGAAGGTGACTATCTCAACCCTCAGCTGAACGAAACAGATATCGGGGGCATTCCCAAACACAAACCTTTTCCAGCTCATCTTGGTGTGCTACGCACAGAACCCATTCTGTGGTTTGGTTATGCACACGCCGACGATACGGCTATTCCTCAACCGGTCGATCCAAACGATACTGACTGGAAGACTGCGTACACCCCCAAGGCCTTCGGTTGTGAGCACTACGAGACAGAGTATGAAGTCACTTTCAATTTTACAAACCAAATCCAGACCACAAACGTCACAAGCCGCAAGTTCCTACGTCCAGTTGTCGACACAACATACGTCCGCGGCGAAGACGATTTAGACGGGACGCTCGACAAGGCAACAGCCACCCCCAAATCAAATTACATCTACCCTACCGACGTCAAGCGCTACCGTAAAGCAATGGCATATCATGCCATCGGTGCTCGTCTCCGTTACTTCGTCAATGGCACGATCCAGCAGCCGTATTACAACGCGAATACGAAGGCACTCCAAACCAAGTTGATTGATCCGCACAACTACCTTGGCGTCAGCAATCTGATGGAGCAAGTTCAGTCATTGTACGAAGACATCATCCTCTCACTATTCAGCAACCCACGATTCATCTCCGTCGTATGGGCCAGCAACACGTCTGCGCAGACAGGGCCAAACATCGATGAAACCCAAAAGTACCGCTGCACCCGCGAACGAACCGACATCCGGTACGACTACCACCAAGGCCAGCTCTGGGCCGTCTACTCCGTCGCCATCTTCCTAGCCATCATCGGCGTCGCGTTCGGCGTGGCGGCGGTCTGGGAAGAGGGCCTGGTCCGCAACACCCGGTTCAGCAGCATCGTCGCAGCAACCCGCGGCCCCGGCCTCGAGAAGCTGCCCTGGGGGAACACGGTGCCCGGCAGCGACCACCGGCCCGTCGCCGGGGCGAGGGTGGGGTACGGCCTCGTGCCGACGGATCCGCATGCCGGCGGCTCGACGTACGGCTTCGGGCTCGAGGGTGACGTGAAACAACGCAGCCGGGAGGAGCAGCCGTCGAGGACGCCGACGGGGTTGGGAAGCCCTTTCAACCGGGCGAGTAGGAGATGGTCAAAACTGACCTCAAATTCGCCGCCGCCGCCTAATACGACAGATGGCAGGTAGCCAAGCCATATTAATTCTGTAGTGTAATGATTAGAGATTTCGTTTTCCCTTCCCAATTACAATCCGTGCAGTCGTTTCTTATCGCAGGCATCGAGTTCTCACATCAAAACATGGCAACGTGTATCTCAGGTGTTCATATTAACTCGACGCAAAAGAAAAACTGTATGTGCGATGACCAGTCTCTACATACTACTCCGTGTAAGAGACAAACAACCTCCCTGCCCTGTTTTGTCCAGGAATAAAATGCATACCATGAGCCTAT